AATGCTGATAATTCTTAAGTTATTCCTCTTCATGTTGTCCAACATGAATCTTAGGCCTTCTTCAGATTGCTTTATCCATTTTTCTGTTCGCTCTTCTATCTTAGTGGCATTGAGAGAGTTGTCTTCCAGCTCACTGATTCTGTCTCCCATCTCTTCTATTCTACTCCTTTACCCTTTCAGTGTATTGTCTATTTCTGATACTCTATTATTGATCATTTGGAACTCTTACTGTAGGTTTTTAATTGTTTCCAATGCTGTATCTATCTTATTTGATTGTTCTTGTAGCACTTTCCTGACTTCTTCCTTATTTTTCTCAACTCCATTGTAAAATGTTTTGAAACATTTTATAGCCATTTTTCTGAATTCCTTCTCAGGCATTTCCAGCCTGCTTTCCTTCCAGATTGGAGTCCAGGTCTACCTCTAGGTCATTTATCTCAGACATTTTATCTTGTTTCTGGACATGTGCTGATATGGTCTTCTGCTTTTGCTTCTTGGATATGTTTAGTGTTTATCTGTGCCCTTAATAGTTAATTGAGTATGTGTTTCAGTATTTTTTATGATTTCTGATTGCTTCCAGGTAGATGTGATCAGGATGTGGGCTTCCCTTTCCACTCTTCTTATTGCTTAACTCAGAGTAACTTTCACAGGTGTTGTCTGCCTCCCCGGTATATGGCAGTTGACACTGGCCTTGATTTTGGTGGTTTTTAAAGTATGATTGTTGCTTGACTGTATGGTAACAGTCACTATCTCTTCTTGGGTAATATAGGGAGATAAAGAGTCCCCCAATGGAGCTCTGGTAGCGTAGTGGTTACGAATCGGGCTGTGAACCTTAAGGTCAGCGGTTCGAAACTACCAGCTGTTCCGTGGGAGAAAGATGAGGCTTTCTACTCCCGTAAAGATTTACACCCTCGGAAACCCTATACAGGGTCGCTGTGGGTCGGAACTGACTCGATGTGGGCTTCCCTTTCCACTCTTCTTATTGCTTAACTCAGAGTACAACAACAACAACAACAATGGTAGAAAGGGAAGCATAAAACAGCAAAACAGCCATAGCCAAAAAAAAAAGGAAAAGAAAGAAAACAACATACCAAAACAACAACAACAAAAACTAGACTTGATACTGTAGTCTATAATCACAGAAAAGAAAGAGGAGGGAGAGATGAAGAAAAGAAAAATTAAAAAATCTGTAGTCTAACATGGGCATGACTTTAATGTCCTCTTTCAGCTTCTTGCCTTCAAAGCTGCCTAAGAGATCTCAAGATGCCACTGTTGGTTATTATGCTGTACCTCAGGATTTAATTTAATTTTCAGCCTATTTTGTTTTTAAACTCTCTTTCCCTCTCCATGCCCCTTGTTCTGGCTTTTCTGTATTAAAAAAAAAAAAAAAAACGTTCAGTGCTGGCTCTTGGACTGAGAATTTCTGTGCACATGCGTGGCAGAACAACCCATCAGTGGTGTGGATGGGGGTATCCAGTCACTCAGGTACCCCCTCTAGTCACCAGATTGGAGGTGCACAAACAGTGGGGGGGGGGGGGCCAATGAACAGATACCAAAAAAAAAAAGAATATCAGAACAAAGCAAAACTGACAGAGTGTATTGTCCACCTTTGCTCTGAGGTTCTGGCAGCATTTTTCCATTGTGTGACTGCTCCCCTGCTTGGTCTTGCCATTTGGTCTCACCCAAGTTGTCAGCTCCCAGCTACTGAGCCCGGCAGATTCAAAAGTACGTGATTTCTTACTTTTGCTACAAGTTCCACTATCTATAAGTCTTCAAACCTTTTAAATATTACTATTTATGTGGATCCGAGTTTTGGAGCTCTGCCCGGAATCTGCTTTGCCTGGTATTCTGTGGTACTGCTGATGGCAAACTTCACTGCACCTCCACCCTAGCCACCATCCCAGATGTTTTTGCTTTTAATACCTCAAACCTTGAAATCAATGACAACTACAAGGATACTTATTTAGAAACCATAGAGAAAATCCCTTAATTTATCAGAAATGCAGTGGTTGCAGTTTCTCTTTCTTTACGTGTCCTTTGCAGTGAATTTTCCCCTCTGTAAACATGAGGGTTAGAAGCACAATGGGTTAGAAGGATGAGAATAGGAGGCAGGGGTAGTACTAAAAGTCTAATGCATTTGGAATTGCCACTCTTTAAAAAAATGTTTTAAAAAGAATAAAACCCCATTGTTTCTTTGAATATATTGTTTCTAGAATTGCCAGAGCCAAAGTCTTGACCACCTACTTTATTCAGTCTCCTGAAGGATCATAAAAGTTGGCCCAGGGAAATAACTAAGGAGATTAATCTGGGAGTAGGAGATTGTGTAGACAACTCAGAATAAACATTCTAGGCAGAGGGAATAGTTTACTCTAAGACAGTTGTTAGCTGCCGTCTAGTTGATGCTGACTCATAGAACGAATTCATATAACAACAGAATGAAACACTGTCTAGTCCTACACCATTATCACAACTGTTGTTATGTTTTAGCCCATTGTTGTTGTCACTGTGCCAATCCATATAATTTGGGGATCTTCCTCTTTTTCCCTGACCTTCCAAGATTGTTGTTGTTGTTGTTAAGTACTGTGGAGTCGGTTCTGACTCATAGTGAACCTGCAAAGGGTTTCCAAGGCTGTAAATCTTTACGGGAGCAGAAACATCTTTCTCCCACGGAACCTCTGGTAGTTTTGAACTGCCGACCTTGAGGTTAGCAGCCCAATTCATAACCACTATGCTACCAGAGCTCCTTCTAAGATTAGTAGGCATGAAATAGCCTGCTGAATTTGGAAAAATACCAATTCCTTGAAAAGCTGGAGAATGGGGGGGTGGAGGGCTACAAAGGCAAGAAGTGACTGGCTTGCAAGGGAAGCCTAGATCCAGAAGGCATGGAGGAAGGTAGAATCTCCACTGAGTAGTATCCAGTCTGTCTGGGTGAGGCTGATGAAAGGAGATGCGGATAGGTCTCTTGTGATACAATAGTGAATAATTGTTATCAGGACTGAGTGTGAGGGTTGGAAATGTAAAGGTAGACTTTTGTAGCAAAAGGAGGGGAGTGATTGACTTTGCAGTCTAGAAGCAGAGGAGGTCCCTGGGACCATCAAGGGAGAAGAGCAGAAAGCAGGACCCTACCCAGAAAAACAGTGATGCCTGAGATGGAGACAGAGATGATGATGTGGAGAGATGGAGCGGCTGGGGACTTTAAATCCAGAGACGGAGAGGGCTGTGTGCTGACAACCTGGGGGCAGGCTTTCAGGGTATACCCTTTGGTTGGTTGATGATGCATGGAGGGGACTGTAAGCATGGCAATGAAATGATTTATGATAGGATGAATGTAAAGCTAATGTTCTCCCATGTAAATTATCACATAATTCACAATAAAACATTAAAAATAATAATAATAAAATAAAAATGTGTCTTGGGAAAAAAAAAAAAGAAAAGCTGGTGAAAGCCTCAGATGCTACAGTGGAGTGTCAGGAAATGAGCCCTGATAGTGGAGACCTTGGGACCCAGGTTTCAAGTTAAACTGTATCTTGGTGGTACTTTGTGGTGGTTTTGTGCTGTGGAGTCAGTTCCAACTCATAGTGACCCTGTACAGGATTTCTGAGGCTGTAAATCTTTACGGGCTCAGAAGACCTCATCTTTCTCCTGTGGGACAGGTGGTAGTTTCAAACTGCTGACCCTGAGGTTAGCAGCCCGATTCATAGCCACTACTCTACCAGAGCTCCTTAAACTGTATCTTAGCATCTTGAAAAGGCATGCAAGAGACAATATGAGCACAATCACAGTTTTGGAAATACTCCTCATTACTTTAACAGTTTTCTAGTGTGAACAGTGTGCCATGTACTCTGTGTGACTTAAAACCCTTGTAGTCTTTACAATGACCCTAAGACATAGGTTCTATTAATTATTGTCATTTTATGAATGAGTAAAGTGACTCATGGAGTCCTGGTGTGGCACTGTGGGTTAATGCACTGGACTGAAATGTCAGTTTGAACCACAAGGTTGGTGGTTCAAGCTCACCAGTTGCTCTTCAGAAACCCTATACAAGGTCACCAAGGGGTGGAACTGACTCAATGGCACTTAACAACAACAACAACGTGACTCACAGAAATGTAACTTGCCCACAGTCTCTTAGCTAACAAGTGGTAGAGCTCGAATGTGCACCCAAGGAATAGGGTCCAGAAATTAGGCTCCTAGCCAAACTACCATAGGATATAATTCAAGTACTATGAGTTAGGTAGTTTGAAGGACAGAAAAAAGTCTTCCATGGGAAGACTTCAATTTTTACAATTCATGCTTGCTTTTAAGATTCTTGATGCCTTCTATTATTTGCTATAAAATGTCCTTGAACCATGATCTATGGTGGCTGATAAGTACAAAAATAAGTCATCTACTTTGTGAGTGGTCCTTGCCAGCTACCTGCCTGCCTGTGTACACACCTTTGATCTCTGCTGCTTACTATGTTCGTGCTATAGGTAAATAGCATTTTATGGTATTTTTCCCAAAGGACTCCTGTTGTAGCCTTGTAGGTTTATAAGCCATTTCCATCTTCTTAAGAAGATATAGACAAGTTGGAGAAGCATGGCACAAATATATGAGAAGTGAAATGATTGGAAAAGATGAAATAACTGTTCTAAGAACTACTTTTCCGTAGTGATTTGTAAACTAATTGCTGGTATAGTACAGAAACATTCTTGGAAAAACTTCACTGATTCTGAAATGTTGCTGGATCAGACTGATAGTCATAAGAAAGGTCAAAAGAAGTGTTTAGATATGGCTCCACTTAGCTGTATTTTGCCAGAGGCAGCAATGATGATGAGAGAAAATTGATGATACCCTGGCCAGTGACTTATGCTGGTCCTGCTTTTGCAGAGCCAAAGATTGTCCTTCAGAGCATGTCCTAACAGTACTCCATGTGTAGGCCTGATATTGGCTCTGCAAAGGACAAAACAGCTATAATGGTCTTTGCAGACAAAGTCAGAAGGTATGATTTCTGCTCTGTGCAGGAGGATCCACATTTCCAAGGCCACACTGGACTGCCTCAACGGCGACTACAATGTGGAAGAGGGCCACGGAAAAGAGAGGAATGAATTCCTGCGGAAGCATAATATAGAAACCTATTTAATTAAGCAGCCGGAGGAGAGTCTGCTGTCCTTGCCTGAAGACATTGTCAAGGAGTCAGTGAGCTCATCTGATAGGAGGAACAGTGGGGCGACCTTCACAGAAGGGTCTTGGAGCCCTGAGCTGCCCTTTGATAACATAGTGGGGAAACAGAACGTAAGTCCTTGCTTTCTTCTTCTGCTTTGCCAGGACTGCATGCTCGCTTGAATGCATCGTCAACCCAGAGGCCTCAGAGAAAACCAATTCATCTTTAACCTTTTCTAAGTTGAGCACCATGATTGTACATGATCAAATCTATCTCCTCAGGACAGAATTAAACTATATATGCATCTTTATAAAATGCCAGAGGTTTCTCAGCAACCCCCCTCCTTTTCATTTTTTTTATTTGTTCTATCTAAAAATAAAGAGCCATAGTGGTATAGTGGTTACTTGCTTGGCTACAAACCCAAAAAGGTCAGCAGTTCAAACCCACTGGCCACTCCAGGGAGAAAGATGTGGCAGTCTCTTTCCATGAAGATTTGTTATTGTTGTTGTTAAGTGTCGTCAAGTCAGTTCTGACTCATAGCAACCCTGTATAGAGTTGGAACCAACTTAATGGCACTTAACAGCAGCAACAACATAGGGTTTCCAAGGAGCATCTGGTGAATTTGAACCGCCGACCGTGTGGTCCAGTTCTTTATCTCACAGCACCACACTGAGACTACAACTTTGGAGACCATACAGGAGAGTTCTACTCTATCCTAAAGGATCATTATGAGTTGGAATTAACTCAGCAGCATTTCTCATCATTAACTAGTTAATGAGAAAAATCTGTCTGCTTAAAGACATTTCCCCCCCACCCCAGGGAAAAGTTAAAATGCTTAGAGTCTTCCCTCTTTCTTTTTGCATTTAAGAGATGATGGGATACTCTGAGGCCAGACTGATTTGTTTCTGTCCAGTTCTGTGTGAGGTGGAATAATGGAATGGATTGAAATAATGCACAGATCAGATTCCACTGGGGTAAATGGCAGGTGGAACCTAGCCTGCATGCTTTGCAAAAGCCTACTCTTATGTCTTTGCTATTCTTGTGGGTGTTTAATGTCTCCATAATTATTGAGTATTCAAGCTATCACTAATCTTTCCATCTCTGAGTTGGAGTGCATGGCGCAATTGGCTATTATATCAAATGGCAGTCTTATATCATTCCTGGGGTAGGTGCATGGCCAGCTGAGGATGCTCTCTGCTTCCTTTGCCTGTTGTTAACTTGACCTGGAATGACTGTCTTTTGAGAGAAGGTAATGCATGCCTGGAAACCTGGATAACTGCATAAAGTTCTTTCTCTTGCTATTTTAGCTTGGTTTGGTTTTTTGTCTTTTGGAAAATTCTTTCCAATTAAGCTAATTGTAGAAATCAGGATAATTCTTTATTGTTCAAATCTCAGTTATACCTGATCTTGCTACAAATAAATGAGAACCAAGAAGAGAGATGTGGAGATGCTTAATTTTATTCCATGGTTGACTGATCTGGTAATATTGAATGGAAATACTTTATTTAAAAATTATTTTTGATGATTTCCTAAATCTATTTGCTGATGTTATCAATCAGTTCTTATAAAAATATGTCATTATTAGTTAATAATTCTTATTCTTGATGTTCAAACATACCACATATTTTTTATGTTGCTAACCCTTTTCCTGGATGCAACCCATCTGTATCATCATCATCATGAATAATCTCAATTCATTTTGATGTCTTCATATTTAAGAGTCAGTTATTGTGTGTGGATATACATAAAAAGCCAGGTAGCACTAGTAACATTTTGGAACTGACTGAATGGTTACTAAGTACTCAAAGTTAGTCCTTACTTATGCTTAAATCTAGGTGTCAATGAACCACAGGTGATATACAGAGGCATACTATGTCCCTGGAAGATCAAGACAGGTCTGGTTAGGTCTCTGTTTTGTCAAAACACCCCAACAATTCCACACATCATTCAAACCATCTGAGTTGTTTCCACAACACAGATAAAATATACTAATGCTTCACTGAGAATTTCCAAGTTAAATTGGCCACCGCTGATCCTTAATGTTTGAGTAGAAATATTTTTAATGACATTGTATATGCTATGTCCTATTCTGACTATATACAAAATCAATGTTCAGGTAGTTGTATTCTCATTCATTCATTCAATAAAGATTAATACAATATCTACTGTATGTTAACTACAGGCATAGTAAAGGAGAAATGGAGACAGAGGTAAAGACATATGTTTCATAGGTAAAGGCATCCAGGTGCTCATAAGCTTCATAAAGACAAACTAAAGCTGTTTCCCTTACCACTGCATAGCCTGCAATTAGGGTCAAAAAACCCAATCTGTGGCTGTTGAGACAATTCTAACTCATAGTGACTTCATGTATGTTCAGATTAGAACTGTGACATAAGATTTTCAATGGCAGAGTTTTCAAAAGTCGATTGACAAGCCTTCCTTTTGAGGGTTCCCTAGGTGCACGCAAACCTCCAACCTTTTGGCTAGCAGCCAAGTGCATCAATCATTTGCCCCACGCAGGGTCTCCTGCAATCAGAACAGAACCTAGTCAATCAAAGGGCTTGATTAGAATTTGCTAAATAAAATGATGGATGCGGGTGGTAAGGGAGAGGAACAGTCAAGTTGAATTTAAAGGTTTCTTGCTTGGGTTATAGAATGAATTGCAGAACTGCCCATTACAATAAACAAAACCACAAGGAGATTGGGTGGGGAGAAGTAGGAATACAGTTTGGGATGTGCTAACTTTAAGGTGCCTTTGACATACCTAGGGAGAGACATCAGGAAGACTGCTGAACACATCTTTCTGAAGCTCAGGCATAAAAGAACTGTGCATGAGTATATATATCTGGTACTCATCAGAATTTAAGTGCTGGTTGAGCCACGAGAGTAAGTGATCACTGCATGGAATATGTAACAAAAAAATGTAAAAAGGCACTGGGCAGAAATTGAAGAATGCCAGTTGAGAGGTGGAATTAAGTAAGAATTCCATGACAGAGACAGATAAGAAGCCATCAAGGTAGTCTAAAGGGAACTAGGGCAAGTGGTGATATGAAAGTTAAGAAAGTCGAGCTTTTGAAGAAGGAGGCTAGGATCAAAGGGGCAAATCTAGCCAAGAGGCCAAGGAAGGTGAAGGATGGAAATGACCTTTGTGAGTTGGATTGGAAAGCACCATTGACGAGAGGCAGATGTGATGTGGTGATGAAGTCAGAAACCAGGTTTTCGTCATTGATGAGAGAAATCTCTAGGTTTCCATGAAGAAACCCAGCTTCATTCTGTCTCTTCCCATTTACCTATTTCAGGAGTCTTTCAATGGCTTGAAGGAAGAAAAGTCTCTAAGAACTATTTCTAACTTCTTAGGTGAATCTTCCAGTCCCTGTCTATTTTTGAAGATGTTCCCTTGGTTTTAACATGGTGTTTCTTCCCTGTCCGTATGTCTGTATCCCTTTGGGTTCAAATAGCTGCTTTGACCCAATCTGAGTTTTGGTATCCAGATTTATCTTGGACTTCCAGAGTGCTCAGACCTTGCTTCCCCTGACTCCTGATTTGTACCAATACTCTTGACTTCCTGAGCCTTGGTTAAGTCACTACTGGAGCCTCCTGTGTCCCGAGCTTCTTAGTAGAATGTGACTAATAAAAAGAGAAGGCAAAAAATATGACCAGAGTGAGGCTATTGGACCACTACTCATCTGTCAATTTGTCCCACTGTGATGACTTGCATGTTTCTGTGATGCTGGAAACTAAACACCAGCAGGGTACACCCATGGTGGACTAGTTTCAGCTGAGTTACCAGACTAAGACATACAAGGAAAAAGCATAGGTGGGCTACTTCTGAACGTTTTAGGCACTGAAAAGCTTATGAATACCAGTGGAAGATTATCAGATAGTACCAAAATATTGAATGTTGAACCATAATTAATAGCACCAGAATATTCTCAGATACAGTGCTAGAAGGTGAGCCTCTCAGGTTGGAAGCCCCTCAGAATATGACTAGGGAAAAGCTACCTCCTCAAAGTAGAGTTGACCATGATGATGAAAATGGAGTAAAGCTTTCAGGACCTTCATTTGCTGTTCAGGCACAACTCAAAATAAGGAGTTGTACCATGGTCTGCTAGAAGAACCAACAAATCTATGTTGGAAGATGTACAGCCAGAATGCTCCTTAGAAGCCAGGATGGCCAGACTTCATCTTTCATACTTCAGACATGTTATCAGGAGTGACCAGTCCCTGGAGGAGGACATTATGCTAGGTAAAGTGGAAGTCCAGCAAAAAAAAAAAAAGAGGAAGAGCCCCAATGAGATAGATTGGCACAGTGGCAGCAGCAATGGGTTCAAGCTTAATAAAGATTTAGAGAATGGTGTAGGACCAGGCAGTGTTTCATTCTGTTGTACATAAGGTCACTATGAGTCAGAATCAACTCGATGGCACCTAACAACAACAACAACAAAGACTAATGGAATCTAAAAATCCAAATGTAGGTAGTTGAAATAAACCAAAAGTGAAAAATGCCCTGTGCAGGGAAAGATGCCATGAAGTTTCAAGGATAGATTTTTCAATGTTATCTACAAAGTCTTCTAATTTCTCAGAACCATTACAAGATGACGAGGAAGGATGAAGAGGAAGATTAAAAAAAAAAAAAAAAAGTCCTAATATTAAGAATCATTCCATTCTTTGACTGAAATCCTTGCTTGGGCTTAAGCAATGATTTGACGAGTGCTTGGTCTTCTAGATACTGGGAGTTCAGTAATTAAAAAAACACTCTCAAGGAGGAAATGGGAGCTGTCTGCAGGCCTTGGTGGTTTGGGATTTTGTTCCAAGGAAAGTGATGGAGAGGTATAAAACAGGGCAGTGATATGAACTGAGTTAGATTTTTTGGAGATTGTTTTGGCAGCCTTGTGCAGAATAGATTGTAGAGGCAAGAGTGGACTTGTCAAGCAAATTGCATCCTAGCTAATGATTTGCAAGAGGATACCCCAGAGTAAAGCTTTTATGTGGCTATAAAATTGAAAATGTGGAGGGTAGTAAGGATTTTAACTAGATGTTTATGGCAAGTAATATGTCAAGAGACGTGGATCCACTCTTTGAGAAGCAAGGACTCTTTCTAGGGTCTGGAATCTGTTCCCCATATAGTGTA